GGAGAGGATACACCCACCTGCCGATTCTTCTTCCCGCGGCCGTTGTTTACGGCACCGGTTGTCACGAAAGCAATCAATCACAAGGCATGGCTGTTCTCGCCGGCCCGAAATCAAGGGACGCTCAACCAGTGTGCCCCCGCTCTTACGATGGGCTGGATGGCGAATACCGATATTCAGCCACCGACAAGCCTACGTGCAGTGTTGTCGTATATAGGGAAGTACGTCTCCAAGCCTGAAAAGTCTTCTACGTCGTATACTGAACTACAGGCCCAGGTCCTTCCCTTTATGAACGACCGAGCGCCCCTACTGTCCTTTGTATCTAAGATGCTTAACAAGTTGATCGGAGAACGCGACTGGTCAGCGCAAGAGATATCGCACATCCTCTTACAGCTCCCAGTCCAAAAATCCTCACGTATGCTCGTGGGCTTGGACTGTCGCCCGGATAACGTCCAGCGTGACCTGATTGTCCTTGAGTCGGGAGAGGTGACGGCCCAGCGTTTGGTACTGCGGAGGTATCAAGACCGACTTGCGGACACGAAGCATGGAGATGCGGCCCTCATCGATCTCTCACTTTTTGACTGCTTACGGCACTGGGATTGGCTAACGTGGAAGGTTCGGCCCCGAGCCAGCCCGCGGGTGATCAACTACTACCCCCGGTACTTGAACGATCCGGAATCTCCTGACTATTCGGACTACTGCCGGGTGAGGCTGATGCTCCATCACCCATTTGTAGATTGGGACGACCTGTTGATGGTGGATGGTCGGGTGTATGGGTCCTATATCGATGTTTTTCGGGCCTGTCTCCGCTCGCATACTCGCCCGATGCTTTTCGGGCCTGTCGCCGCTCGCATGCTCACCCGGAAGACTTCTATACGGATCCGGACCCGGAATCTGGGGCGTCGGACACGGAGAGCGATGAGGATTCCGAGGAACAGGCGGAGGACCACCCTTTGGCGGACTTTGAAGCATTTGCTCGCCGGAGACCGCATGAAGATTTCACTCGTGTCGACTTGCTCGATAGTCTAGGCTCCCGGGAGATGGACCGTGACTATGATTGGTCCTCCCACATCGGCCGTTACGACATACCCCCTGACATCTGGGACCAGGTCAAGGCCGAGAATCCGATAGCGCAAGCAGTTTTGATGGACTCCTCACCAGATCCTTTAAATCCAGAACAGAGGAAGTTGTACGACGCCGTGGTGAGTCAATATTCTGAAGAGCTTACTTTGGATGCCCCGCTCCCCCGTCAGCTCCTCTTAAATGTGGACGGTGTTGCCGGGTCCGGGAAGACCTTTACGCTTCTGAAAATTTGTGCACGGATTCAGGAGCTTGCTGTCGAGGCCGGAAAGCAGAACCCGGTCTTTCGAGCGGCTCCTACGGGTATTGCGGCATTCAATATCGTTGGTAAGACCCTTCACAGTCTCTTGCGGCTCCCGGTTAAGGGGAAGAAGTCAGATTTGTCAGTCGCTACCTTGCAGTCCTTGCAAGCCCTGTTTCGGGACTGTCGCTTCTTGATCGTTGACGAGAAGTCGATG